TGGAAGAGGGGCAACCGGGCCTACAGATCCGCGCCCCGACCAGGACGAGAACCCAATGTGCCGGCGCCACAGGCGGAGGATTAGCCTAGTGAGCCGCGGCGCCGGCCACTCTGCCTTTCAAGTAGATGAAAATCAACATTCTTTTAAAAATTTCCCAAAATAAACCAAGAAAATATAAAACATAAAGAGGGAAAGATTTCCCAGACTCCCTTTCATGCAGAGTTCTGGGTTACAATTAGATTCTGAAGAAATGCACCAGCATGAAGTCGACACACAGGAACAGGACAGGGCAACCTCCTGTTGCAACTGCTATCGGCAAGGAGGCTCAAAGGCACTGCATGACTGCATCGGGCCGCCCAGCGTCTGGCCAGTGCTGAGTGGAAGCAGCCGTGGCCGTGGTGGCAGGCTTCCTGACCTCACACGGTGGGGTGTCCGTCACCTCCACAGTCCACCTGTAATTCCTGACCACTCTTCTAGTCTGCCCGCTGACTTTGTAAATATCTTACTCCTGGGTGCGTGCGTGCGTGTGTGTGTGTGTGTGTTAAATTCAAGAGGCAGAGAAAGATCTCTCATCCACTGGTTCAATCTCCAAGTGCCCACCACGGCCAGGGCTGGGCCTGGGGCTGAAGCCGGGAGCCAGGAACCCAACCCAGGTCTCCCATGTGGGTGGCAGAAACACATGTACTTGAGCCGTGATGTGCTGCCTACCAGGGTGTGCAACGGCAGGAAGGCAGAGCCAGGCATCAAACCCAGGTACTGATGTCTTAACTGCTAGGCCAAACGCCCGCCTAGGACTCCTGGTTTTAAATCTGACCACAGTAACTCATGTGGTTTCTACCTTCGCACTCAACCCTGACAGACCTAACTGTTCTCCCTCATCCCCTCTTGCTTGCTTGCTTGTTGCCTATAATCCATTCTGTTCCCAATGGAGAATCCCTTCAGTCACTCCTGTTACCTCCTGCTCAAAACTCCCATCATACTCAGAGTGCAACTGAAAACCCTTCACCGGGCTGCCAGCCCACTCTGATCTGCATTCCACCCAAATCTCTGATGGCCTCCGGTCACTGGCCTCTCAATTCCTGGGACAGGCTGAGCTTGGCCCCAGATCTTGGCCACACTGTCTACCTACGTGGGAGGGTCTTCCATCTGTCTTTCAGATGAGATGTCACCTTTTGAGCATCCCCCACTCCCTACCCCATAAAAAGTCCCCCCTATTTCCTCTTTGCAGCACCTGCTGATATCTAGCTTCTCATTCTCTCTCCTCCGAGCATGCCTGTACCATGGTGCAGGGAGGAACTCAGCCCTTTATAGCACACTGGAGCACACCATAGATGCTTACCGAATATTTGGAAGAATAAACTTGGGTAAAATTTGTATGGAGGGTGAATTTTACTTCTGTTACAGCTACTCCAAGTATGTTTGCAAGAACTACAGTTTATTCTTAAATGTTAGGTTGAGGATAAAACCATTTTGTGAACTGGGCACAGGTGATACGACAACAAAATGTTTGGGCACATATCACGTTCAGCTTTCCACTCTGACACGAAGGAAGAAAATCTGAAAACATTCCTGGTAGCTTTGGGATCCGCAAGGAGGGAAGGCCTACACTTCCGGGAATGGAGAGGCCTACTTCCGGGGAAGAAAGTCCTTGTCAAGGTTCCCGCAGGTGCCTAAAGGTCAACCAATGAGGATCAGGCCCGCCTCCACCTTTAACCCCCATGCCCTGAATCTATAAAAGGAGCTCTCCCAATCTCTGATGCGCGACTTCCCAGTCCCTGCTCTGTTGCTCTGTTGGGACCGGGGAACCTCGCCTGGGAGCGGAACCCCAATAAAAGCCTGTGAATTAATCGATTTGTCTGCCTGGGAAGATTTGTTACGTGCCGGACACCTTCCAATTCCTTTATTAGCACTGCTTCTGGAGAGCTTGCCAGTCCAAAAATCCCTGATTCTGTAGAACTGTGACTCAGGGGACAAGGAGTAAGAGGAATTCTGAGGTTGGATTCCATTCAGGATCACTGTCATCTTTTCCAGACTCTTTCAATATCATGCTACCAATTTTTTTTTTACAGATTTGTATATTTATTTATTTATTTGAAAGGCAGAATTAGAGAGAGGCAGCGGCAGAGAGAGAGAGAGGTCTTCCATTCACTGGTTCACTTCCCAGATGGCCCCAATGGCTGGAGCTGTGCCGATCCGAAGCCAGGAGCCTGGAGCTTCCTCCAGGTCTCCCACAGGGGTGCAGGGGCCCAAGGCCTTGGACCATCTTCTACTGCTTTCCCAGGCCATAGCAGAGAGCTGGATCAGAAGTAGAGCAGCTGGACTCAAACCGGTTCCCGTATGGGATGCCGGCACTGCAGGTGGCAGCTTTACCCGCTACGCCACAGTACTGGCCCAACTACTGATTTTTAAAAATATATAAACTATACTTTTTTTCTTTCCTGATCCTACCTCTTAGCTCCAATGGGGGTATCTGGTGGCCTCACACTTGATAAGGTCTCTGGAGAAAGAGCGCCATCTGCTGGCAAAGTCTGCTGGGCACTGTTTTGACAACAGGCCAGCAGCTTTCTCTAAATGCAGCAACTAAAGCCAGCCTTCCAGAAGCGCAAAGACGCTCTGCCATTCCTGAACTGCCAAGAAGACTAGAGAATCTTGTTGGTCTGAGGTTTCTCGCCTATCACACCAGCTTGGGCTTTGACCCAAGACTGGCATTCACTGCCACTGTGGGAAGGAGGTGGAAGATCTGGATTGACACACAGGATCAAAGTCACACCTCCGTCCCCTGTAGTCTGCACGTGAGCTGCCGAGACCTAGCGCCTTTGCCTTGGAAGTTCGGAGGCGGGGACCACGAAGTGATCTGGGTTCTGCTCCGTGCTCACTACCCACAGCCTTAGGAATCTGCCCTTCCTCGTGGGCAACATTCCTGCCTCAGGTTCTCCCAGAGAGTCTTCTCCATCACGTTAGGTTGTGATCTCCAACATATTCCACTCACTTTTCTCCCTTCCTTTTAATCCCCCACCCCTTTGACAAAATGAATTTGGCATTTCAGCTTTCTCTTGCTTCCTACACCTCTCTGCCTCTGTATTACTCAGGAGGCACTATGGTCGTTGTGGCGCCTCAAGGACAGTAAATGCCTTTTTCTCTCGTTTCTTCCTTACTTTTCCAATTGCTCCTTTACCATCATTAAGGGCCACCCTCTTCTGCCATTCGCCTGTGAACTTTTCCAGGAAGTGTACAAAGTTCATCCTTTTATTGCCATTTGTGGTTTTATCATTTGCAAATTATGCCCATTTTTAATACTTACTTAAACTCATATCCTTTTTTCTGCTCTAGTGAATTTCCACGGCTCTCTGATTTCTTAGCTACTAATATAAAAATTATCAACATAAAATCTTGTATATACCCTGCACTCTCATTTTTTGCAAAGACTACTTCCTTTTCACTGACCAAAGCATTTGTAAAATTATTGCGTCAGGATTTTATTAGTTTTTCCAGATTAACTAGAACTGTTCCCTTCAAACATTACCTTACATGCCTCAAACCGTAAGATTCTCAAAAATATAAGACTGCACTGATATTTTGAATGTTTAAATCCAGATGAAATAGTAACTATACACACACACACACACAATTCAAATAGTCAATGATTTTTCTAATGGTACTCGAGGAAATTGACAGACACTGGGACAGGCGTTTGGTGCAGCAGTTAAGCCACCACCCGGGATGTACAGATCCCGTATCAGAGTACCTAAGCTAACTTCAAGTCCTGGCTCCACTCCTGATTCCGGCTTTCCGCTAACGCACGCCCTGGGAGGCAGCAGGTGACTGCTCAAATAGCTGGTCCCTGCCACGCCCTTGAGATCCCGGTTCCTGGCTTCATCCTAACCTCAGCCCTGGCTGTCACAGGAGGCACTTCGGGAGTCAACCAGCATACAGAAGATCTCTGGCTCCCCTGCTCTGCCTTTCAATGAAATAAATATTTTTTAAAAAATAAAACACACAGGCCGGCGCCGTGGCTCACTAGGCTAATCCTCCGCCTAGCGGCGCCGGCACACCGGGTTCTAGTCCCGGTCGGGGCGCCGGATTCTGTCCCGGTTGCCCCTCTTCCAGGCCAGCCCTCTGCTGTGGCCAGGGAGTGCAGTGGAGGATGGCCCAGGTGCTTGGGCCCTGCACCCCATGGGAGACCAGGAAAAGCACCTGGCTCCTGGCTCCTGCCATCGGATCAGTGCGGTGCGCCGGCCGCAGCATGCCGGCCGCGGCGGCCATTGGAGGGTGAACCAACGGCAAAGGAAGACCTTTCTCTCTGTCTCTCTCTCTCACTGTCCACTCTGCCTGTCAAAAAAAAAAAACAAAACAAAACAAAACAAAACAAAACAACAACACACACATATGATCAAGACAAAAAAATTATTTCAATCTCCCTTCAGCCCCAGTTTCCTTTGCCCATGGCAGCATATGCTTTAATTCAAGAACAGAAATGAAACTGAGCCAAGAAGAAAATGCTTTTATTTATCAGAACATGGAACTGACATGACAGCCTATTAGAATCGAACTGGGATAAATAATGCTGTTATAAAATTTACACTTGTTAGATCCATTTTGGAGGAAAATATTATATATCAGTGCACTTTTCAATCTTATGGACTGGCTGTAATAAAACCTTTTTATGCTAAGTAGTTACAGAGGCAACTATAAAATCTGCAATGATAACAACCTGCAGGTTTAGGGCCGTTTTGCAAACATTAAGAACCACATCCCTCATTTAGCTGGAACAGAAGGGCACCTTTTTCATTGGTAAGGCAACTGCTTGCTGTAGGTACAACAATGATACACACATTTTTTCCTTAAAGTAACAGATTCTTGAGTAACTGTTGGACTCTTCTAATTCACAGTAAACACAGGCAGTGAATTACTACCAGGAATGTCTGAAATATTTCCAGCTTTGAAAATAACAAGGCTGCTGAAACTGGTTTTCAAAACTAGCTTCTATTTTGGAACACATTTGATAACATAACACATTTAATGTGTATTTTAGCAATTTCTTCTATCAACTACACTTTGCCCTCAGGAAGGGTTAGAGTTATCATTTCGAACACTTTCTACGTATAAAGTATCTTTAAATAAGTTTCATTTTCACTGGACTGAACAACTGTTTTCACGTATGTGCCTGTGGAAGTTAATCTGAGCATACACATATATACACCCGCATACATATGTGCACACGCCTAAGTAAGTTACCTTTTGTCACTGAATACGACTACACACTAGGGGACGGCTGAGGGGCGGCGGGGTCTTCCTGGGCAGGCCTCCCCTAGGTGGACGAGGGCAGGTACAGTTCGCTGAAGGACGTGATGAGGCTGTAGTAGGTCTTCTCGTCGTCCGTTAGGCCCGCGTTGCCAGGCCTCACCACCACCGCGACGTGCACGTCGGCTTCCTCGGCAGCACTGGCCTCTGTGAAAACCACAGGACGGGTCAGAGTTGTCAGCGACGCCGCCTGAGCTTGTGCCAGGTCCTCGGGAGACCGTGGGCATGGGTGAATGAGGAAGGGCCTAACTCAATGACTGCTGTAGCAACAAGATGGGTCCGTTGGGGTTGACCTGATCATATTATTTTCTCTTTTCTGTGTTTTACTTTTTCCTTAAGAAAAATTAAAAACAGCTAATAATGGTACCTGAGGGATGGAATGGCCAAGCAGCCTGCACGTGAGCTCTGGTAAGTTCTACCCACAGCTTTCCTCCAGTCCCTCCCATCTGTCCTCCCGAGAGCAGAGCTGTTGCCCAAGGGCAGGCGGATGGTGATCACACTAATTATGGAAGGACAGGATGAAAGGAATCCTGCGATCTACTCAGACCACAGGACCTGTTTCATCTGCAGACAACATGTCACGCTCCCGGCCTGGACGCCCAAATACTGCGCCCAGCAAATTCCTAGCCCTCAACATTCTGCTCTAGTCTCAGCCGCCAGCACCACCACTCTCTACTAGAGCATCCTGAGCCTCTGTATTCACCTCCGTCACAGCAATATAATTTGACATGTTACGGCCAGCTGCTTCTTCTCTCCTTATTTGACCGTGCTTGCCTTAAAATCACTATATATGTGGGGGGGGGGGCAGGTAGAAATAAAAGACTAATCAGATGAAACCAGGCATGTTATGTCTTGTAGGCAATAACTACGTCTTGGGTGACGTTCCTCTCTCCACTGTTTCCATTTGAAGGATAACAACTAATGCCTTATGTTAATTTATCATGTGCCAGGTATTATTCTAAGAGCAGAGATAAGTGCACAGAACAAAGCTCCTACCTTCATGGAGCTCCCATTCTCACCTAAATATTCACAACCAGTCTGAGGCAGGCAGGCGGTATTTCCCCACTCTAGCGAGCAGGACCAGCTAAAGTCTGAAACCCTCAGTCTGACTCCATCGTCTGCGCTGCAGAACAACGGTTGGCACCTGGTTCTGTAGATAAAGTTGGATGGAACACAGCCACACCCATTCACTGTGCACTGTTTATGGCTGCTTCCTCGCTAAAGGCCAGAGCTGAAGAGCTGTCACAAACCCTGTGGTCTGTGGGCTCCAAGTGTTACCATCTGGCCCTCTAGAGGAAAAGCTCTCCGTTCTGGCTCTCAGGCATTACCCCTCCAGGGGAGAGCCTGGCCTAGCAGTGTGGGAATTACCTGGAAGCTTGTTTAAAATGCAGCCTCTCAGGCCCTCAGTGTAGAACTACTGAATCAGGGTCTTCTTAAGATGGTTCTTCTGGGGGGGCCGGTGCTACGGCATAGCAGGTAAAGCCACCGTCTGCAGTGTTAGCATGCCATGTGGGCGCCAGTGTGAGTCCCAGCTACTCCACTTCTGATCCAGCTCTCTGCTGCGGCCTGGGAAAGCAGTGGAAGATGACCCAGGCCCTTGGGCCCCTGCACTTGCGTGGGAGACCTGGAAGAAGCTCCTGGCCCCAGATCGGCGCAGCTCTGGCCATTGTGGCCAGCTGGGGAGTGAATCAACGGATGGATGGAAGACCTCTATCTGTCTCTCTGCCTCTCCTTCTCTCTCTATGTGATCCTGCCTTTCAAATAAATAAGTAAATATTTAAAAAAAAAAAAAAAAAAGGAAAAGAAAAAGAAAAATTGATTCTCTGCAGTTTTTTTTTTTTTTAATTTTTATTTTATTGACAGGCAGAGTGGACAGTGAGAGAGAGAGAGACAGAGAGAAAGGTCTTCTTTTGCCGTTGGTACACCCTCCAATGGCCGCCGTGGCTGCGCGCTGCGGCCGGCGCACCGCGCTGATCCGATGGCAGAAGCCAGGTGCTTCTCCTGGTCTCCCATGGGGTGCAGGGCCCAAGCACTTGGGCCATCCTCCACTGCACTCCGGGCCACAGCAGAGAGCTGGCCTGGAAGGGGGGCAACCGGGACAGAATCCGGCGCCCCGACCGGGACTAGAACCCGGTGTGCCCCGGTGCCGCAAGGCGGAGGATTAGCCTAGTGAGCCGCGGCGCTGGCCTGCACGGTTTTTTTTTCAAAGGAGTTTTGTAAATTTATTTACCTGAGAGGCAGGGAGACAGACAAATAAAGAGCTCCCATCTGCTAGTTCACTCTTCGAATAACAGAAATGGCCTGAGCTGGGCCAAGGCTGAAGCGGAGATCCAGGAACTTCATCCGAGTCTCCCATGTGAGTGGCAGGAACCAATCACTTGAATCATTGTCTGCTCTCTCTCAGGGTCTGCATTAGCATTAGCAGGAAGCTAGAATCAAGAGCAGGAGCTGGATATGTAACCCCGGTACTCCCATGTGAGACCTGGGCATCTTAACCCCTAGGCTATACCATTTGCCCCTGGGGATAAGCTCTGTTCAAAAGTTTCAAGGAAAGAAAATCAGAAGAGAGAGGAAAAATTCTGGGGCCAGTGTTGTAGCACAGCAGGTAAAGCCTCTGTCTGCGACACCAACTGCTCCATTTCCAATCCAGTGACCAGCTATGGCTTGAGAAACCAGTGGAAGATTGTCCAAGTGCTTGGGCCCCTGCCAGCCAGGTGACAGACCCAGATGAAGCTCCGGGCTTTGACCAGGCCCAGGACCACAGGCCCAACCATTTGGGGAGTGAACCAGCAGATCAAAGATTCATTCTTTCTCTCTCCCCCCAACCTCCCTCTCTCCTTCTCTCTCTCTCTCCCTTTTTCTATAACTCTGCCTTTCAAAGAAATCAATAAATTTTTTTAAAAAGGAAAAAAAGGAGAGAAAGAATTTTAGGCAAAGATATATATCATTGGCCGGCGCCGCAGCTCAATAGGCTAATCGTCCACCTAGCAGCGCCGGCACACCAGGTTCTAGTCCCGGTCGGGGTGCCGGATTCTGTCCCGGTTGCCCCTCTTCCAGGCCAGCTCTCTGCTGTGGCCCGGGAGTGCAGTGGAGGATGGCCCAAGTGCTTGGGCCCTGCACCCCATGGGAGACCAGGAGAAGCACCTAGCTCCTGCCTTCAGATCAGCATGGTGCGCCGGCTGCAGCGCGCAGCCACAGCGGCCATTGGAGGGTGAACCAACGGCAAAGGAAGACCTTTCTCTCTGTCTCTCTCTCTCTCACTGTCCACTCTGCCTGTCAAAAAAAAAAAAAAAAAGATATATATCATGTAAATATTGGAAGAATGCAGTGTGGGAAACAGATACAAGTCTGCAGTAAGAAAGATGGGGCTGGGGTCGGCACTGTGGTGCAGAGGGCTAACACCCTGGCCTGAAGTGCTGGCATCCCATATGGCCACCAGTTCGAGACCCAGCTGCTCCACTTCCGATCCAGCTCTCTGCTATGGCCTGGGAAAGCAGTGGAAGATGGCCCAAGTCCTTGGGCCCCTGTACCCACGTGGGAGACCCGGAAGAAGCTCCTGGCTCCTGGCTTCGGATCGGCGCAGCTTTGGCAGTTGCGGCCAACTGGGAAGTGAACCATCGGAAGGAAGACCTCTCTCTCTCTCTTTCAAAAAGAAAGTGAGAGAGAGAGAGAGAGAGAGAGAGAAAGAGAAAGAGAAAGAGAAAGAGAAAGAGAAAGAGAGAGAGAGATGGGGCTTACTTGGACAGAGAGAGTAATCTGGGGAAAGATGTGGAAAACACCCCATGGAGCTTAGATGTGGTCCAACAGGAAGCCTCGCTGAGCAAGGTGACCAAGATCCACAGGAGATCTAACACTAGCTGGCAGCTGTTCCACGGGCTTCTCACCTCATCATCAGTGTCTACCTGTTCTACTGGCATTACACGGAGACCCTTAACTAATACCTTGGACCCCTTTCCTTTCCTCCCTTTCAGTTCCTCTCTTTCATACTTGGGTATTATTTGGCTATCAACTCAGACTTCTGCTCCACCTTGGCAGTGGAAGTCTGGGCACGTGGCACCAAAACACGCGATCACAGAAAAGCTCTAACCAAAGGTAACAGAAAAGAGCAAGGCAGGAAGCCAGCTACCTGGCCTCATCCCAGCTGCAGAGGATCCAAATTCTGGCTCTACTGCCTAATCGGGTGTGGGGCTGGCAGGAGGGCTGCAGGAAAAAATCTCCTTGTGGAGGACTTGGAGGAGGACCAACGTCATTTTGATGCCAACTTGGGGATTATCTCTATTCCCTAAAGTTAGGAATAATTTCTGGAACTGCAGCCCAAAGAAGTGGCTTAAGCTTTTTGAAAAAAGGCATGCATATATGCCAACTACAGAAAAGGGTGACCAAAGATGAGAGTATAAGGATTCTGTAAGTTTTCTCAGGGAAGGGGTTATAATCAGATCAGTAGTCTGCCACAGAAAAACACTTCAGTCAATGAGAGCATATACCATGGTGGCCCCATAACTTTGATAGAGCTGAATATTTGCTTTTGCCTGTTATGTTTTATTTTACCTTTTCTGTGTTTAGATCCACAGATACTCGTCGCTGTGTTGCAGCTGCCTACAGTGCTGAGTACAGTCAAGTGTCGTAAAGGGTGCAGGCCAGAAGCAGCAGGCTGCAGCAGGAGTACAGCCTGACCCGGCCGTGGGCTATACCACCTACATCTGCATCAGTGAGCTGTGATGTCCACTCAAGGACGGCACTGCCCAGTGAGGCGTTTTTCAGAATGTGTTCTTGTTCAGCAATGCACAACTATGCTAATATAGCCGAGAAGCGTGGGAGACAGCAGGGATCTGAGGATCCTAGCGTGAACAATGCACTCAGTCCCAGAACTGGCGGATTTTGAGGGAGTCTCTGGCCACAATTTAGATATCTACTTCCAAGCTGGCAGAAACCAACCATCCACAGTGCTAGGGCAAGAAATACAAGGCAAACTATAATGTCATGCCCTAAAGCCTCCTTTATGTAAATGATTAAAGAGAAAGCAATTCACAGATAAAACCAGGTAACACCCAAACAACGCCTATTTCTTGCCCACAATGAGAGAAAACAATGTAAATGGCCTTCAGATTCTCATTGTACACAGAAACTGCTGACACAACCCTACCCTACACTGATCCCACCCCACCACTAAACCCCAGAAGTCACTCCAGGGCACACTGTCATGTTGAGTTGTAAAGGTTTGCACACAGAACTGTGATAGGAAAACAAGTACGGTTCAGATTGGAGGCCGGGTGAGGTGGTCCTTGTTCAGGTCAATGTTTGCTGACAATACACTTCACAAGGCTGGGCTACCAGCTCCACCATGACCTTGAAGCAGCCTGTGCACCTGGCTCCTCTTCCACCACAATCACACAGTACGTGAGTGACAAGCTTTCTAGGAAACAGGAAGCCTGAGCCGACTGCAGAAGCCCTGGGACCTTGAAGCTGACCCAAAGCAGGAAAGGGGCAGATCCCTCTCTTGAGTTCTCAAACCTGCTGAGTTTTCAATGTCAAGGTAAGAACTGGCTGTGAATTGGTATTGTCTACCCAGATCTACAATTCCAGTTCAGGTCGACCAATGACTGCCCAGTAACCAAGGCACTAACAATGCCAAGTGTCTGCTCTTTGGCAGGGAAAACGGAGCCTATTCTGCCTCTACATCTCTGGAAAAACTCATTGCAACTCCTGAAGGCACCAATGAGGAGAAGCAGGATCCATGCTGGTGAGGGTTAAAAAAAAAAAAAAAAAAAAAAAAAAAAGCTTAGCAAATTAGTCTCTGCTTAAATAGCTACAACTCTTTCCTATCACAGCAGACGAAAGGGCCAAGGGTGAGCAGAAGATAAAGAATATAGCATGTAGAAACCTTTCCCAGCAGCCTGGCTGTCCCTCTGGGCCTCTCTTTTAGTCCCAGTGAGTGGAAGTGATGCTAGTTCTTAGACAACAGGCAGCAGGGGGGAGAGGGGACATGGCTCCTAGAGGCCCAAGAGTCGCCCGGAATAGTCAAGGCCAGACAGCAGCCTCCTGCCCGCCACCTTGAGTCCCCACCTGCCCACAGAGAGGGCGCCAAGGGCAGCTGCACAGCACACACTCTGTTCTCGGGGTAATCAGAAGGTGTGGTATCAGCCCCAGAGAATTTACAATCCAAGGTAGAAACGTAAGAAACATGTTCACGTAGCTGCCTTCAGAAACGATGGAAATGATAAACACAACAAAAGGAGGCCCACTGGGAAATACACAAATCCTAAGGGCCATGGCCAGGCAATGGAGAGCTGGAGCCAGGCAGGGGGCTTGCAAAAGCCTCACCAACCAGGGGTTTACAGGTAAGAACCTCACAGAGCACCTGCGCCCAGCCCCTCTTCACCTACTACTTCTCCTTTCCTCACTCCCCACCTCTTCCTCTGTAATTTGTAATTCTCTAGAGGACTCCCGTTCTTGCAGATGCTGGAGTGCATGTTTCCACTGAACCAAAACTACTGTTGAAACCAATTATATTGCCCTGCCTTCAACCCCTAAGTAACCATGAATGTGTTAATATACCATACGTGGCCGGCGCCGCGGCTCACTAGGCTAATCCTCCGCCTAGCGGCGCCGGCACACCGGGTTCTAGTCCCGGTCAGGGCGCCGGATTCTGTCCCGGTTGCCCCTCTTCCAGGCCAGCCCTCTGCTGTGGCCAGGGAGTGCAGTGGAGGATGGCCCAGGTGCTTGGGCCCTGCACCCCATGGGAGACCAGGAAAAGCACCTGGCTCCTGGCTCCTGCCATCGGATCAGCGCGGTGCGCTGGCCGCAGCGCGCCGGCCGCGGCGGCCATTGGAGGGTGAACCAACGGCAAAGGAAGACCTTTCTCTCTGTCTCTCTCTCTCACTGTCCACTCTGCCTGTCAAAAAAAAAATAAATAAAAATAAAAAAAAAAATAAATAAATATACCATACGTAACAGAGGGTCATGCTGGGTCAAAGCGGGTCTGTCTTTCACACAATGAAGCCCGAGTCACAACTGGAGAGGCGCCAGGGAACAGACAGCATCTGAGCAAGGCAGACAAGGCTCCTCCTCACCGTGAGGCAGTGGCAGGCAAAACTGTTCAACACTTTATAGCTCACTCTCGCTCTCTCTGCTCAGTGTATGTAGCTGACACCCCTACTGTTACAGGCATTTAGTGCAGGTCCACCGTCTTTACTGTCCTTAGCCCACCATTTGGCTATGGTCACTATGTTGCTTGCAAGCTCCTTCCCACCAGAAGAACCCTTAAATCTCCCTTTGTTATCTTCTCACATCTCAGTGTGTACAGAGATGGCTGTGAGGGTAACTCGGATAATGAGTTAAAATTAGAGAGAAATTAGTCTTTCCAGTGCCACCTCTCCACACGCAACTCCTAAGGACTGGTACACAGACAGGGGGGTGGGTCCGGCAGTACACTATTTTGTTTCCCAAAAATCCCCACCAAGCTGTGTTTAAAGAGGCAATGTGTTCACAGTGCAGGCTCAGCTCCCATCCTGGAGAACATAACCCCGGAAGTCCAATTACTCACCCACAGTAACGTCTGTCAGAAATAAGATGTTGTTGGTTGAGCACCCAATGCTGCTGGCAATCTTTCGGTAACTCTCACTCTCCACTTTGTGTCCAATCTTGGTGTCAAAGTGACCATCAACAAGCTGCCCACAGGGAGAAAGAGGAAGTCTGAAATACAGCACGACTGCAGGACACCAGGCCCCCTTGTCTCACCTTCCCTTTCTGAAATACTCGACAATCATGGTGACTTCACTCATTCAATATTTACTGAAAATCCAACTAATAGAGAACTTTATGGAGGCTACAAGAAGATAAATATAAAGATTTTTATAGCAATTTGGAAGAAGAAAACTACCAGCTTAATATATACAAGATCATTTTACAGCCTTTGGTTTTCATTAGCATTCATTTTCTACTCCAAGTCATTTAAAATATACATGATCTACATTCTATACTTGAAACACTATTTGTACGGCCAGTGTTGTGGTACAGTAGGTTGAGCTGTGGCCTACAACTCTGGCTTCCATATAAGAGTGCCAGTTTGAGCCCTGGGTGCTCGCTTCCAATCTAGCTCCCTGCTAAAGTGTTTGGAAATGCAGTGGAAGATGGCCCAGCTACTTGGACCCCATACCCATGCGGGAGACCTGGACGAGTTCCTGGCTCCTGGCTGAATCTCTGACTGTCATGGTTATTTGGGGAGTGAACCAACGTATGGAAAATGTCTCTCTCTCTCTGCCTGTCACTCTGCCTTTTAAATAAATAAATTTTTTTAAAAAGTGGACATTTACTCTTTAAAAACAGCCTACTACTTGCACTCTAACTACTTACTGGACTAGGTTTCACTCTTCACGTAGCATTTTGAACACCATCCTTCTGAATGAATGGATTTTTCTAACCTACCTCAACAAACTGTTACTTTATTTTCAAGAAACTTTCATTTTCTAATTAAAACATCTTGAAATTCTATCCAACACTCTTTTTGTCCTGGGCTTCTTGAAAATAATTGGAGTCAATGTGTAACACCCTAATTTAACCTAGAGTAGTTAAAAATGTCTATATTTAGGATCAGTTATTATAATGTGACCCTTTGAATACTTTCAGAACTTTTTACAAACTAAAAATAAGTCAAATAGTTACTTAAAAAGGGCTGATGCTATAGCACAGTGGGTTTAAGCCATCACTTCTGCACTGCCAGCGACCCGTATTGGAGCCCAAATTTGAGTCCCAGCTACTCGGCTTCTGATCCAGCTCCCTGCTAACACACCTGAGAAGGCAGTGAAATTTGGATCCCTGCCACCCATATGGCAGACCCAGCTCCTGGCCTTGGCCTGGGTCAGCCCTGCCTTTACAGTCATTTGGGGAGTGAGCCAGCAGATTGTGGTGTAGCAGGTAAAGCCACTGCCTGTAGTGCTGGCATCCCACGTGGGTGCCAGTTCTAGTCCCAGCTGCTCCACTTCCATTCCAGCTCTCTGTTGTGGCTTGGGAAAGCAATAGAAGATGGCCCGAGTCCTTGGCCCTCTGAACTTCTGTGGGAGAGCCGGAAGAAACTCCTGGCTTTGGATCGGCCCAGCTCCGGCTGTTCTAGCCATTTGGGGAGTGAATCAGCGAATGGAAGACTTCTCTCTCTTTCTCTGCCTCTGCCTCTCTGTAACTTTGCCTTTCAAATCAATAAATAAATCTTTCAAAACAACAACAAAAAAGACACTACTTGGGATGCCTGCAAACCATATCAGAGAGGCTCGTTTGAGTCCAGGCTCCGCTTTTGATTCCAGCTTTCTGCTAATGCACTCTGGGAGGCAGCAGCTGATGGCTCAAGTAGTTGGGTCGCTACCACCCACATGCAAAACCCAGATTGAGTTCTGAGCTCCTGGCTTTCGCCTGGCCCAGCCTTGGCTATTGGGTACTTAGGAAGCAAACCAGTGGATGAAAGATCTCGATCTTTCTCTCTCTCACACTCTGTTTTTCTCTCTCTGCATTCCAAATAAAATGAAAATTTATTTTTAAAAATTCAGGTTGAAAAGTACTAAAATTAGAATATGACAATCTCTAAAGTCAAAAGTGTTCTCTACAAATAGTAGGAGCTCAATAAATATTTTTAAAAATTATCGGCTGGCCGGCGCCGCGGCTCACTAGGCTAATCCTCCGCCTTGCGGCGCCGGCACACAGGGTTCTAGTCCCGGTCGGGGTGCCGGATTCTGTCCCGGTTGCCCCTCTTCCAGGCCAGCTCTCTGCTGTGGCCCGGGAGTGCAGTGGAGGATGGCCCAAGTGCTTGGGCCCTGCACCCCATGGGAGACCAGGAAAAGCACCTGGCTCCTGCCTTCGGATCAGCGCGGTGCGCCGGCTGCAGTGGCCATTGGAGGGTGAACCAACAGCAAAAGGAAGACCTTTCTCTCTGTCTCTGTCTCTCTCTAAATGTCCACTCCGCCTGTCAAAAAAAAAAAAAATTATTGGCCAAGTGGGGCCGGTGCTATGGCATAGCAAGTAAAGCTGCCACCTTCACTGCCAGTATCTCATATGGGTGCTGGTTCAAGTGGCAGATGTTCCATTTCCAAACCAGCTTGGGAGGCAGTAAGTAAAGGATGGCCCAAGTCCTATGGCCCCTGCACCCACGTGGGAGACCCAGAAGAAGCTCCTGGCTCCTGGCTTTGAATTGGCTTAGCTCTGGCCATTGCAGCCATTTGGGGAGTAAACCAGCGGATGAAGATCTCTCTCTCTCTTTATCTCTTTGCCTTCAAATAAATAAATAAATCTTAAAAAAAATTATTGGCCAATGGTCTGGCATTGTGGCATAACAGTTTAAGCTGTTGCCTGCGAAGCTGGCATCTGATATGGGCACCAGTTCAAGTCCCAGCAGCTCCACTTCCAATCCAGTTCCCTACTAATGTGCATGGGAAAGCAACAGAACATAGTCCAAGTCTTTGGGCCACTACACTCACATAGGAGACTTGGATGAAGCTCCTGGCTTCAGCTTGGCCCGGCTCCAGCTGTTGCAGCCATCTGGGATAGAGAAGATCTCTCTGTCTCTCCCTCTCTATTTCTAACTCTGCCTTTCAAATACATAAAATAATTAAAAAAAAAAATCACTGGGCAAGTTACCTATCATATATCACTACATTCAGTTTATACTCAGCACCTCTTTGTTTTGCAGTCATTTGGGGAGTGAACCATCAAATGGAAGATCTCTCTCTCTCTGACTCTGCCTGTCAAATAAATAATAAAAACGTATAAATCTTAAAGGGGGGGCAGCACTATGGCGTAGCAGATAAAGCCACCACCTGCAGTGCTGGCATCCCATATGGGCATCGGCGGGTTCAAGTCCTGGCTGCTCCAATTCTGATCCAGCACTGTGCTATGGCCTGGGAAAGCAGTGGAAGACGGCCCAAGTCCTTGGGCCCCTGCACCCATGTGGGAGACCTGGAAGAAGCTCCTGGCTCCTGGCTTTGGGTTGGGGAAATTCCGGCCATTGTGGCCATCTGGGGAGTGATGCGGCAGATGGAAGACCGCTCTCTCTCACTAGATTCAGCCTGTATTCAGTTAGTCAGCACCTCTTTGTTTTAAAGTCCTAAATATAGGGGCCAGTATTGTGGCACAGCAGGTTAAGCTGCTGCTTTGGATGCCTGCATCCCTTACTGGAGTGCCAGCAGCTCATCTTCTGATCCAGCTCTCTGCTGATACAACTGGGAGGTGGGGGTGATGACTCAAGTACCTGAGTCTCTGCCACTCACTAAGGGAAATATTTGGAGTCTGGTTTTCGCTTGGCCCAGCTCTGGCTCTGGGTCTGTTTGCCTCTCTGTCTCTGTCTCTCTCCCCTCTCTCTCTGCTTTTCAAATAAATAAGTACATCTTTTTTAAAAATAAATATGGTCCCTGATTGTACTCAACACTCCATCAGCTAAGGAGCGCAAGGATGGTGAAGCTGGCAGGAATTTCTCATGTACAAGCAGAACCAGCGACCGGTGCTATGGCACAGCAGGTTCAATCACTGCTTGTGACACCAGCATCTTATAATGGAGTGCCAGTTTGAGTCCCAGATACTTCACTTTTTATCCAGCTCCCTGCTAATGTGCCTGGGAAGGCAGCAGAAGATGGCCCAAGTGCTTCGGACCCTGCACCCACGTGAGAGACCTGGATGATGCACCTGGCTTCTAGTTTTGGTCTGGTTCAGACATGCTGTGGGCATCTGGAGAAGTGAACTAGTGGGGCTGGCGCTGTGGCGCAGTGGGTTAATGTCCTGGCCTGAAGTGCCGGCATCCCATATGGGCGCCGGTTCGGGACCTGGCTGCTCCACTTCCTGTCCAGCTCTCTGCTGTGGCCCGGGAAAGCAGTATAAGATGGCCCGGGTCCTTGGACCCCTGCGCCCACGTGGGAGACCCGGAAGAAGCTCCTGGCTTTGGATCAGCACAGGTCCAGCCGTTGCGGCCATTTGGGGAGTGAACCATCGAATGGAAGATCTCTCTCTCTCTGTCTCTCTGCCTCTCCTCTCTCTGTGTAACTCTTTCAAATAAATAATAAAATTAAAAAAAAAAAAACAAAAACACTGAAATGTTTAAAAAAAAAAAAAAAAGAAGTGAACTAGTGAATGATCTCTCTCGGGGCTGGTGCTGTGCCTCAGCAGGTTAAGCTGCCACCCATGTTGGTATCCCAAAGGGGCACCAGTTCAAATCTCAGCTGCTCCACTTCTGATCCAGCTCCCTGCTAATACGCCTGGGAAAGCAGTGGAGGATGGCCTAAGTGCTTGGACCCCTGCACCCCCTTGAGAGACCTGGATGAAGCTCCTGACTCCTAGTTTCAGCCTGACTCAGCCCTGGCCATTGCAGTCATTTGGGGAGTGAACCATCAGATGGAAGATCTCTCTTTGTGACTTTGCCTTTCAAATAAATAATAAAAATATATAAATCTTAAAGGGGGGGGGGGGGGGGGGGCTGGCGCTGTGGCGTAGCAGGTAAAGCCACCGCCTGCAGTGCCACCATCCCATATAGGCTCTGGTTCAAGTCCCGCCTGCTCCACTTCCAATCCAGCTCTGTGCTATGGCCCGGGAAAGCAGTAGAAGATGGCCCAAGTCCTTGGGCCCTGCACCCGCCTGGGAAGACCCAGAGGAAGCTCCTGGCTCCTGGCTTCAGGTCGGTGCAGCTCCAGCCGTTGCAGCCATCTGAGGAGTGAACCAGCGGATGGAAGACCTCTCTCTGCCTTTCCTTCTCTCTGTGTGTAACTCTGATTTTAAATAAATAAATCTTAAAAAAAAAAAGAAAGAAAAAGAAAAAAATCTGTCTTCATTGCTCTGCTTTTCAAATAAACCTTAAAAAAGTAAAAAGAAGTAGCATAACAGGTGACTTCAATTCATCACCATGTTTGATAATGTGCCTGGTTCTCTTCCATGCTGTCTCTTGTGTATCTCTCCAAAGTGCCAGCAACAAACAAGTGTCCTTGTGTTGTGCTCCGTTTCAAGAGATCTTTATGTATTTCTCAGGCCTGTGCACAACTCTATTTTGCTCTTTACTTGACTTTTTTTTTTCAAGACACAGCAAACTTTAATAATCTATGTAGATGAAATCATAAATGTAACTGAACGTCATTAACTATTCTCTTCATACCTGATAAGAACAATTACATTAGCTTCCTTTGGGTTACTGATTTCTAACACTGGCAAGGCAGCAGGTGAAGAAGCAGCCGCGTACGTGCCTACACAGCACAGCCGCGTCAGAATCCCTCGGAGCGCTGTTTCCACACAGGTTCCTGGCTCCAGCCCAGCCTGCCAGGAGCGGGGCCGAGGGATCCACATGTCTAACAAACTCCCCAAGTGATTCTTGTGCACAACTACATTCAAGAACCTTTGATCCCAAAACTGGTACCGTGGCAACATTTCACCCTTTTCTGTGAAGTATTCTCCAGTTTTTCCACATCTCTGCAGTCTGCTTAGCATATTCAAATGTAATTACCTGAATGCTGATTTGGCATCTAACTGTAGTACATTCCTTTAAAAAAAAAAAAAGATTTTTTAAATTTATTTATTTGAAAGGTAGAGTTACAGTGAGAGGGAGAGACAGAGAGAAAGATCTTCCATCCGCAATGGCCGCAATGGCCAGAGCTGAGCTGATCTGAAGCCAGGAGCCAGGAACTTCTTATGGGTCTCCCATGCAGCTGCAGGGGCCCGAGGAGTTGGGCCATCTTCTACTGCTTTCTCAGGCCACAGCAGAGAGCTGGACTGGAAGAGGAGCAGCTGGAACTAGAACTGGTGCCCATATAAGAAGCCTGTGATGCAAGCAGAAGATTAACCTACCGTGCCACAGCGCTGGCCCCAGTACACTCCTTTAATATGCCATATTTCAATATGTGTCAAAAAAACAAAGTAAATGAAGTCACTTACCTCAAGAATGTCGCCCTCTGTAGAATGCCCAAATAGCAGCTTCTGCGCCTCCACACTCCCTGAAGAATAGATATACACCTTCATTCCAGCCTCTCGCCACTTCCTGACTGCTGGAACCACATCGGCAAAGAACCTAGAGGGCAGACCACCAGGTGAGAGGACAGAAGTGGGCAGAGCAGGTGCCACACCCCGCCCTGCTCGTGCACTAAGGGAAACATAAGTTGCTATCAGAGTTCTTCCCGGGTCACACAGACTAGGAGCAGCAATGCAGGTGGAAGAGAACGTTTGTTTGGTTTTTTTCTTTTTTGACAGGCAGAGTTAGACAGTGAGAGAGAGAGAGAGAGAGAGAGAGAGAGAAAGGTCTTCCTTTGCCGTTGGTTCACCCCCCAATGGCCGCCGCAGCCAGCATGCAGTGCCGATCCAAAGCCAGGAGCCAGGTGCTTCCTCCTGGTCTCCCATGCGGGTGCAGGGCCCAAGCACTTGGGCCATCCTCCACTGCCTTCCCGGGCCACAGCAGAGAGCTGGCCTGGAAGAGGGGCAACCGGGACAGAATCCGGCACCCCAACCAGGACTAGAACCTGGGGTGCTGGCGCCGTAGGCAGAGGATTAACCTAGTGAGCCGTGGCACCAGACAGTAAAAATGATAGTAAAAAGGAATTTCAAAGAGTAAGAAAATGATTTTTTAAATTCTTGAGGAATTATAAAACAAAAAACAATAACTGTACTAATCATATAATCTGTGATATAATTCATAATAACAAAAGGTGAAATTATGTACAGTGTGCTTTAAGAAAGCATGGAGGGAAGGCCAGCGCCATGGGTTAATCCTCTGCCTGTGATGCCAGCATCCCATATGGGCACTGGTTCTAGTCCTGCTGCTCCTCTTCCAATCCACCTCTCTGCTGTGGCCTGGGAAAGCAGCAGAAGATGGCCCAAGTCCTTGGGCCCCTGCACCCACATGGGAGACTAGCTCCCTGGCTTCGGATTGGCACAGCTCTGGCTGTTGCAGCCATTTGGGGAGTGAATCAATGGAAGGAAGACCTTTCTCTCTGTTTCTCCCTCTCACTGTAACTCTATGTCTCAAATAAATAAAATAAAAATCTTAAAAACAAACAAACAAACAAACAAACATGGAGGAACTGGTGCTGTGGCACTGTGGATAAAGCCGCTGCCTGCAGTGCCAGCATCCCATATGGGCGTCGGCGGGTTCAAGTCCTGGCTGCTCCAATTCCGATCCAGCTCTCTGCTATGGCCTGGGAAAGCAGCAGAAGATGGCCCAAGTCCTTGGGCTCCTGCACCCACATTGGGAGACCCGGAGGAAGCTCCTGGCTCCTGGCTCCGGATTGGTGCAGTTCCAGCCACTGTGGCCAATGAGGGAGTGAACCAGCGGATGGAAGACCTCTCTTGCTTGCTCGCTCGCTCGCTCTCTCTCTCTCTCTCTGCCTCTCCTTCTCTGTGTAACTCTTTCAAATAAATAAATCTTAAGAAAAGAAAAAAAGAGAGAAAGATAACCACTCACTTGTTAGACTCCAGTGCTATTTTATCTGTGTCACCAATCGACTTACAGTGGGAGAGAACTAGGGGGAATGATATTTGGATCTGGAGTCAGTGAAATGCTTGGGCATTGAAGCAGCTACATACTCTGCTTTCATGCGCCCAGCTGTGAACGCCGCCCTCCACATGTGGCCCTGCAGCTGCTTGAGCGCTGTCGTCTTTCGGTCCAGAGACATCTGCCAGCACACGTTGTCTACCACGGCCTGGATCATCTGCTGCATGTCAGCCACCCCATTCCCAGAAGCTGCAGGGATTGGAACAGCCCCTTCCAGGTGGGCATCTTCTTCAGCCTTTAAGTCAGAAACAACATAAAATTTTGTTTTTTGCTCATTCAATATAAGACCATTTAAAATGAGATTCCCCAAACCAAGCAAACCAACTGTTTTCCAACTATCTTTAGTTGTGATACTGTTGCAAAATTATAGTGTCACATAGTTGGGGGCTGATAAAATTAGCTCATGCCTGGAATTCTCTGGAAAGAAGCTAGCAAAGCATTGGAGCTGGCTCATAGTCATCTCCCAGAACCTGCCAAAGTCCTAATAGCCATTTACAGCAATGGCGTCTTGACACTGCAGTCCAATCTCTACAGTTATATACGTATATATCTCGGGGCAAGACTGTGGCATAGTAGGTTAAGCCTCCGCCTGCAGTGCCAGCAGCCCATATGGGAACCAGTTCAAGTTCCAGCTGCTACACTTCCAATCCAGCTCCCTGCTAAAGTGCCTGGGAAAGCAGCAGAAAATGGCTCAAGTGCTTGGGCTCCTGCACCTATGTGGGAGACCTGGAAGAAGCTCCTGGCTGGCTCCCAGTTTCAGATCAGCCCAGGTCCAGCCACTGCAGCCTTTTGTGGCATGAACCAACAGATGGAAAATCTCTCTCTCCCCCTCTCTCTGCCTCTCAAATAAATAGATAATAGATCTCTTTAGATATATACATACCCATATATGATACATATGTATAGACTATAATGAGGGAATGGGTATGTATATTTCAATAAAGGTTGGGACAACAAAAAAGGGAGATTTCAGTAACCATGAGTTACCCAGAAAATCAAACAAACCCAAATATCCCATGTTCCAAAGGGTGTGACTATATAGCCTAACTCTTAGCATTAAAAAACTAACAGAGCACATCCCATAATACACAATATAAAAGCTAACTATGAAACAACTGCCAGTGAGTTACACCTTTGCCACTGAAGCAATTTCAATAAGTACACAATGTGGAGGCAGACAGACGCGGTGGGGGTGGGGGGAACAGAGCAGAACATGAGACCAAGGCGGGAATGAAGGCTGGGCCAGGGCTGAGCATGGGGAGGGTGGGACGACGGACCCAGGAGCACTGGGGAGGAGGCAGCAGAGGCAGGGTGGACAGGAAAATGAGGAGGGGACAGTAAAGGAAAATGTGAAGAACTGCACAAAGCCTTTTGTATTTCTCCCAGAAAGGGCTATACAGTATTTTTCTGCAATTGAAATAGCTCCAGAAAGAGGCAATTCTAGTAATAATAAACTGCTGTGAATTCCTAAACACCCATCCTCTGTCACTACAGGTTTACAATATGCTCAGAGAGGAGAGTGAAGACCAGGCATGCTCAATTCCGAGACACTTGAAAGTATGGAAGAGAAAGGTCCAACCTGTTTCCTCAAGAGACTGACATCCTGCTGGCACTCCTCTTCCTCCCAGTGTGTCTGCAGATATTCCTTAACATTTTCTTTGATGTATGGAAATAAAATGTCCTAGCAAAAAAGAGGGAAAGAAAAAGCAAGAGTTAGCATTTCTCAACTGAAAGACAAGATCTAATTCTTCTACCTTCTCACCTTAGAAAACAGACAAGTCAGGCCGGCGCCACGGCTCACTAGGCTAATCCTCTGCCTAGCGGCGCCGGCACACCGGGTTCTAGTCCCGGTTGGGGCGCCGGATTCTGTCCCGGTTGCCCCTCTTCCAGGCCAGCTCTCTGCTGTGGCCAGGGAGTGCAGTGGAGGATGGCCCAGGTGCTTGGGCCCTGCACCCCATGGGAGACCAGGAAAAGCACCTGGCTCCTGGCTCCTGCCATCGGATCAGCGCGGTGTGCCGGCCGCATCGTGCCGGCCGCGGCGGCCATTGGAGGGTGAACCAACGGCAAAAGGAAGACCTTTCTCTCTCTGTCTCTCTCTCTCACTGTCCACTCTGCCTGTCAAAAAAATAAAAAGTAATAAAAAAAAAATAAAAATAAAAAAAAATAAAAAAAATAAAAATGAAAACAGACAAGTCAGTCAATGGAAAACTGTTGCTGAGGACATGAACAAGGCAGAGACCAAGAAATGAACTAGACCAGGAGTTGGCAAACTGTATAACCCACAGGCCAAATCTGGTCAAACTATTTTCATAAGAACACTAAGATGTTATTTGCCTTCTTTACTTTTATAACACAGATGGTTTATGGAAAGCACCTGGCACCTTACCATTTACTACTAATATTCTCCAGCACAGACACTTAGACTGGGCAAGGATCAGCTCTGACTCAGTTAGTGGGAAAAGCACAGAAGATCCCAGAGGATAAATCACAAGCACGGTCAACTCATTCATTCAACATTTGCTAGGGCTCTTCTGATTGCCAGATGCTTCTACTAATGAATTAACCACAGCCACTCTTCTCAGAGAACTCATAGCAATAAATGGTGCACAGTTTCAAACAATTCTGAACATTTAGGGAAAGCTTCAGAAGTTAGAGATTACTGTGGAACTCCTGATCATACAGTTTGCCCCTCTCACATCTATAAAACTGCCCTCTTACTGAGTAACACACACAAAGTCAGGCAATGACACCAGAATTTATATAACATCTATATTATCTGGGGTCAATATGCTAGCAGTCTTCCATTTCAGTGCAAAAGTGTTACTGCCCTGGAAAAAGTACAAGGTACAATGAACTAAATTGGGATGATTTTTACCCACACTTTAAAAAAAAAGTTTACTTATTTGAAACGGCAGTTACAGAGATAGGGAGGGACAGACAGATCTTTCATCCACTGGTTCACTCCTCAGATGGCTGCAACAGCCAGGGCTGGGCCAGGCTGAAGCCAGGAGCCAGGAGCTTCATCCAGGTCTCTTACATGAGTGTCAAGCATTTGGGTCATCTTCTACTGTTCTCCCAGGAGCATTAGCAGGGAGCTGGATCGGAAATGTAGCAATCAGGACATGAACTGGTGCCCATATGGGATGCCAGCACTGCAGGTGGCAGCATAACCCACTATACTACAATGCTGGGCCCCTTAACACACTCTTATTTAACATCTAAGCAAGATAAAATGCCTTTGATGTTGCTTATAAAAAAAAACAGTAATTATATCATAGCCTAGCATGTGCTATACTGCATATGAATGATCTGTAGAAACATATATATATGTGTATATATATATATGCCCAACCCTGCTCATTTACAGATTTTTAGGTTTACAAAAAATTCCAGGCCAGCACTGCAGCTCAGTAGGCTAATCCTCCGCCTTGCGGCACCAGCACACCGGGTTCTAGTCCTGGTTGGGAGAACGGATTCTGTCCCCGTTGCCCCTCTTCCAGGCCAGCTCTCTGCTGTGGCCAGGGAGTGCAGTGGAGGATGGCCCAAGTATTTGGGCCCTGCACCACATGGGAGACCAGGATAAGTACCTGGCTTCTGCCTTTGGATAGGCGCAGTGCGCCGGCTGCAGCGCACTGGCTGCGGCGGCCATTGGAGGGTGAACCAACGGCAAAGGAAGACCTTTCTCTGTCTCTCTCTCTCACTGTCCACTCTGCCTGTCAAGATAGAAAAGATAGAAAAGAATTTCCAGGGGCCAATGTTGTGGCGTAGCACACAACATTGCATCACTTGCATCCCATACAGACACTGGTTTGATCTCAGCTGCTCCACTTCTGATCCAGCTCCCTAATGCACCTGGGAAAGCAGCAGAAGATGGACCAGGTGTTTGGGTCCCTGCACCCACGTGGGAGACCTGCATGGAGCTCCTGACCCCTACCTGGCCCAGCCCTGGCTGCTGTGGCCATTTGAGGAATGAACCAGAGGATGGACGATCTCTGTGTCTCTACCTCTCTAACTGCCTTTCAAAGAAAATATATAAATCTATAAAACAATAACTCCAGAAATAACCATAGCTGACAGCTATAATCTATTCACAGATGTTCAGAATACTACAGTATGAGATGAAAGCTGCAATAAAGCCAGGATTCTACAAATGTGTGAATACTTTTAGTCCACACCAAGCACCTAATGGCCTGTCACCGTTTAGCGGTATATGTAACCACAGGTTATAGAACCAAATGAGCCCTGCCTTCCGGGGACTAGGATTACATTCCGCTAATGCTGGAGAGGATCCTATGCAACAACAGTATCACCGCACACCTCTCAGCGGCAGCTCCCCGAGAGCTCCAGCCACCGACACAGCATTTCTGAAGATCTGATTAAAGAAGATGCATTGTAAATGCTTACAAATCAAAATATGGATTTGCTTTATGGTCCAGCAGCTGTTTCAATTAAAGTCAGAGAGATCTCAATGAAAACAAAATTGTTGCTTTAATAGTTGCTGAAGTGTTCTCTGAAGATCATGGGTAATTCAAGGTGCCAGGGAAGAATAGTACAAGTACAGAAACCATTTTAAGAGCTTTCCAAGGGAATCACACAGTGCAAATGATTTACAGTATTTGAGAACCTAAATATTTTCCACTCAGAAAACTCAGTAACACAAAGGCAGTATTGCTGGGCTACTATTTCTTTATTAACCTCAGAGAAGAAAAAGCAAAGGAAAATTAAGTGACTTGATGGTTTTTAAAAAGGAGACCACATTCTCTACATAAATAAAACAGTTTACACACAGTATGTAGAGCCTAATTCAGTTTTGTTGAATTTCTAAAACATAAAACAAAATCTAGGCAAGGATGGACATAAATGTTTACAGAGGTTCTCTCTGGGTCATGACATCTCACCTAAGAAAAAACTTTTTTGGGAGAGGGGGTCTATTTTCCACAATGAAAGTGTATAATCTTGGGGCTAGCACTGTGGCATAGCATGTAAAACTGCCGCCTGCAGTGTCAGCAGCCCACATGGGTGCCGGTTTGAGTCCTGGCTGCTCCACTTCTGATCCAGCTCTCTGCTATGGCCTGGGAAAGCAGTAAAAGATGGCCCAAGTTCTTGGGCCTGTGTACCCACATGGGAGACCCAGAAGAAGCTCCTGGTTCTTGGCTTCAGATCAGCGAAGCTCTGGCTATTGCAGCCAACTGGGGAGTGAACCAGCAGATGGAAGACCTCTCTCTCTCTGCCTCTCCTTCTCTCTCTGTGTAACTATGATATTCAAATAAATAAATAAATCCTTAAAAAAAGTGTATACTCTTAAAAGAGCACACACACAAAAAAAGACAACAAAAACGATAGATTTGCTTATAGTGTTTTAAATAAAGCTACCACCCTACAAAAGCAAATTAGACCTGAAAGGAGCTCCAGGAGCCTTGTGGCATCAGATCAGCCTAGCTCCAGCCGTTGCAACCATTTGGGAGAGTGAACGGGTGGATGGAAGACTCTCTAACTCTGCCTTGCAATAAAAAAATTAATCTTAAAAAAACAAAAGAATATTTATATAGGACAACCACATCCTTAAAACAACAGCAGTTCCTGAGAATTTCAAAGAAAGCTGCCCCCTATGAAAATGACAAAAGAGTTCATTTTTATATAAATTCTTTTTTTTAAATTTATTTTTATTTGAAAGTCAGAGTTACACAGAGAGAGGAGAGGCAGAGAGAGAGTTCTTACATCCAATGGTTCACTCCCCAAATGGTTGCAATGGCCAGAGCTGTGGCGATCGGAAGCCAGGAGCCAGGAGCTTCTTCAGGTCTCCTTTATGGGTGCAGGGGCCCAAGGACTTGGGCCATCATCCTCCATTGCTTTCCCAGGCCATAGCAGAGAGCTGGATGGGAAGTGGAGCAGCCAGGTCTTGAACCAGTGCCTATATGGGATGCTGGTGCTTCAGGACAGGGCATTAACCCACCGCACCACAGCACCGGCCCCATACATGCATAAATTCTAGTTTTTGCCTTGCTCTTTCAGAAACAGTAATTCAACTCAAGGTCATCTCTGAGCCTCAGTTTACTTATCTGTAATATTTGCCTGGGACAGGTTACAAGAAATAAGTTCACGTATCCACATCATTGGCAGTTCCTTTGGCTCCTTGAGAGCAGCAGTTGGATGAGCACTCCTGCCATGTGGCCACCTGCCCTGAAGGAACAGAAAGCCTGCAGGCATGGGCTCATCAGTGCAGCCTGGGGCACACCTGTCATTACCGTGGACCAATGCAGCCTGGCACAAAAGCTCTGAGCTCCTACTGTTACTGTTTTACTCTTAGAGCACCTCTTACAATGGTTTTCCAAGCTTTACGTGAACACTTCTAAAAATGAGAATTTGCTGCTGCTTGGAACGGTCGCGCCATCTGCCAGATAGTTTCAATAGTTGTGTCATTAAAACCGCTCCTTAAACAGCCCTCCTGAAGATCTCACTAGGAACTGCCAAGAAGTTCTGGTGTTTTGGCTGCTGCCCGGGGCCATCAGGGCTTGGAAATTCTAACTCCACTGTCCCTGTCTTCATGGAGTAAGCAGGGCAGGACCCAAACAAGGCATGTTGCCCCCTTTGTAAACTAAAGCCTTTAGAATGAACATCAGATTCATCATCTGATTTCAGAATGAATAAATGCATTGCTGATAAAAGTGTCTTCTAAATCCC